ACAGCGTAAACAGTACTATACGCTAAGGGCCTCACCACACCACTGTCCAAACGAAAAAAGTACGAGCGCATGTTACCGCAGGGAGTGGCCAGATGCGGCCGTGAATAGTAACGGATGACTCTCGCCACTTTCTGGGGAAGATGCACTCATACTTCCTTTTTTTCTCTCGTTTCGACAGTGGTATGGTGAGACCACTAATCATAAAAAAAAAAAAAAAAAGTAACTAGTAAATGCCAAATGGCTTAGACATCCAGAGTGTGAGAGGGTGTGAGAAGCTATGTTGTGTGGTGATGATAGAGAGCTGGGTATCTTCCGTTCCCTTGCATGTCCCAGGAGCCCGTTCCGGCCATGACACCCCCGACATCCCGTACTAAGGAACTGCTATGCCAGCCTCAACCCTATGCTACGTACTAGGAGGATAGCCAACCTAGGTCATGACTTATGGACTCGAGTTCCTTTCTTTATCCTTATGTTGTCTTTTTACTACAGTGTACTATGATGTTGATGGTAGAGAGATGGGGATCCTCCGTTCCCTCGTATATCCCTGGAGCCCGTTCCGGCCCCACGGTAAGGTGCAGTATCTCCTGACACCCCCGACATCCATACTAAGGACTGCTATGCCAGCCTCAACTCTAAGGTATGTACTAGGAGGATAGCCCATCCTCAATCGTGAATCATGGACTGTATGTATTGACCCTGGATAATCTCTTAGCCCTGTGTTGTATTGTAATCTGAGAGCAGACAATCCTCTGTTCCCTCGTATGTCCCTGAAGCCCGTTCTGGCCCCGCGGTAAAGTGCACTATCTCCTGACACTCCCGACATCCCGTACTAAGGATTCCGAACTGCTATGCCAGCCTGAGTCAATCCTTTGACCACATACTAAGAGGATGACCAGCCCTAAGATACAGTCTGGTATCACAATATGGAAAATTAACAAATTTTGATGAAAAAATAAAAATTACAATTTATGGCTACACAAATCGTTGAAGATACTATTAAATCGAAAGGTAGACGCACAGATGTGGGTGACATTTTAAAACCTTTMAATTCCGAATATGGCAAAGTTGCTCCTGGTTGGGGGACTACTGTTTTAATGGGGATTTTTATGGCTCTTTTTGCAGTATTTTTGGTGATTATTTTAGAGATTTATAATGCATCAGTATTGTTAGATGGTATCTCGGACACAGGACCTTATGTGAATTGTGCAAGTGACGTAACCTATTGACCTACACTGTGAAATAGTCTGTAGCTGTGCTCTGCTGGGCTCGAGTAAACCGGACTATGCAAGCCACCCAGCAGTCTCATGACAACCCCGTAGACCAAGGACATCAGGATACCCACCATCGCCCAGTCCCCACATACAACGACCATGGACTACCCCTTGCGTGGTGCGCAGGCAGTGTCTGTAATAACTTACCTGCGTCATTCCGAGGCGGTGTGTGTCCAGCCGTGTGTCATTCTAACGCCCTGCCGGTGTCCATGCGCAAGGCTGCAGAGTTTTGAACCCGCAACCTCAATAGAATAAGATGGTCCACCCTCTCACACTCTGGATGTTACGGAAGAGAAGATGTAAAAGAGACCATAGCTTCTCACCGTGCGTTGTAGGAGGAGGAGGAGGAGGAGGAGAAATGAAGACAGGAGATCTCCCGTGGCGGAGGGGGAGGAGGGGGAGGAGGAGGAGGAGGAGGAGGAGGAGGAGGAGGAGGAGGAGGAGGAGGGGGAGGAGGAGGAGGAGGAGGAGGAGGAGGAGGAGAAACAAAGACAGGAGATCTCCCGAAAGCGACCGATAGGTCGCACAAAATTAATCATGAAGCTCAAACCTATCGTACGGGGATGCAACCCTACGCCAGCCACGTTTCAGCCGGTCGCCAGCCGGTCTTCCACAGCTGGTTAAGACCTGGTTTGTTCTCGCATGGCTGAGTTGAACTTGAATGGTTGGTTTGAACTTTGAACCTGGTTTGGGTCATCGCTATTAGTTTAAACCAGGTTCGGATGGTTGCTGTTGGGCTTCCGCAGCTGGTCAGGACGTGGTTGGTTCTTCCACAGCTGGTTTGAACCTGGTTTGGGTGATTGCTATTAATCTTCCACAGCTGGTTTGAACCAGGTTACGGTCGGTCTTCCACAGCTGGTTAGAACCTGGTTTGTTCTTCCACGGGCAGTTTGAACCTGGTTCGTTTTTCACAACTGGTTTGAACCTGGATTGGCGGATTGCTGTCAGCAAAGGGAAGACAGTCCTCTTGCATGGGTGATCGCTCCCCGGATTAAACCCCTCTTAGTGAAAAGACAAGGTGTTTCAAATTCGCTGCATTACGGGTCCCAGGAAAGACAAGGTGTTAAAAGTTAAAAAAAAATAAAAAAAATTGTTGGCGGAAGTCAACAAGGGTATAGCCAATATAAGGGAAGGACATGTAAGGGAACGACCCCTGAGGGATGGCAGTAGGTGGTAGTGAGGTAGGCAATAGTGGTTTTTTTTTTTTTTTTTTTTTTTTTTTTTTTTTTTACTAGGATAAGTAATTTGATGCCAATTGGTATGTAAGGAATAGTGAGACAGTATTTTGCAGGGAAGGTAGGGACAAGGACTGACAAACGGAACGGGTACCTAGTTAGAATTTGGATTAAAAAACTGGCCGTTGAGGCTGCCGGGAGGTCGTCCCCCGCGCCCCGTCGTTCACAGGATCCACATGCTGGGTGTCCACAGGTGCTGCCGGTAAGCTTCCTGCCAGCCAGTGTACCCTGTACATGTCTCGTGGTTTGGGGGGAGGACGGCCAAAGCAAAACCCCTCCTTTGCGTAAGCGACTAGAGCTGCAAGATTTTTTTTGTCAAAGTTTGTGAACTTAGTCTGACTTTTTATCACTTTTATTTGTTTGTTTTTTACTTCATTTGTTATTTTCATTGGTTAATCTTCAGGAGGTATGTTTAGTACTGATTCTTACAGTACCGTACGAGGTGTTGATAAGCTAATCCCAGTCAATGTTTATTTGCCTGGATGTGGTGTCCAATCTACTCTTTCTTGTCTTCTCAGTTGTATCTCATGTACATTTGGCTTGCCGGTGATGAGCAACCGGACTGATACCCCCCCCGAATAGATCGTTTGCAGAGGTCTATTTATATTGAAGGCAGGTGGGGAAGCACTGAATAGGTCTTTTCACAGAGGAATCGGGACACGACGCCATTCTTCTTTTTTTTTCGTTTTTCCTCCCTTTCTTCCTTTTCCTTTTTCTTCTCCTCCTCTTTTTTTTTTTCTTTTCTTCTTTCTTTTTTAACACAAATCCCCTTCTATTTTGGGGGGCCATCAGTCCTGTTGCTTACCGCCGGCAAGTTGTGGAAACCATGTTTGTACAGCAAATGAGGGAGATAAGACGAGAGAAGAGGAACGGCTCATCCCTCGTGGCTCTAGTCACCTTGACAAGGGGGGGCTGCTACGGGGCGGGGCGCCCCTCCCCCAAACCGTTGTCCTGCTTGGGGGCTATCCTGCTGGTCGGGAGGCCTCCTACCTTCTTCCCCCGAATACAACGCACGGTCATTATAGCTGTATCTGGACTGAAAGATGCCTCAAATACAGCTATAATGACCGTACGTTGTATTCGGGGGAAGAAGGTAGCAGCATCCAGTCATGCAGCAGGATGGCCTCCAAGAGGGCGGGGTGTGGGGGAGGCGTTTCTAGCAGCCCCTCGGGCCG